CCAACTAAGACCCCAAGACATTCTCAGTTGGTACTAATTGGTTAGAGAATCCCCAACCGAGTCTCACTCTGTCACCCAGGCTGGAGTGCAGTGGCTATTCATAGCGGCAGTTATAGCGCACTAGCCTGGAGTTCCTGGGCTCAAGCCATCCTCCTGCCCTAGCTTCCTGAATAACTAGGACTACAGCCATGCACTACCACAACTGGCTAAATCCAATTATTTTAAATTAGCTGGAAGAAAAAAGACATTGGGGTTCTTCTTGCTTCCCCTTGAGAGGACCAGATCTGGTCCCCAATTTTTAGGACAAAAATATTTACATTCAGAAAGCCAAGAACAGATCAAAGAGAATGCAGAAGCAGTCACATACTAGTTAGATGCAGAGAGAAAGTCATCCTTTAGATTTATAAACTCCTTGTCATGTTGTTTCCTCTGTTGGCCCCTTCTCCACACTTTTAAACAAGCATGTTGTGGTCTAAGTTGAGAGCTTGACACGGTTTTTGCTATGGTTGAGGCATCAATCTCTTTTGTAATTGAATCTATTCACCAGGGATAGTGTGAGCAAACCATGATCAAGCTCTTTGTCTTTGTCCTAACTAGGCATTTACCATACAAACATAATAAGAAACAAGCCCCTGCAAGTCTTTCTTTTTAACCAATTATCTGGCTGTTTCTCTTGCTGTAGTCCTGTCTTCATTAAAAGCTGTCCAGGGGGGAGGGCACAATCTTTGGAAGCATATCTAAGATGCCAATTTCTTTGCATTTCAGTGAAAAGTAAGTCATCAGGGTATTTGGGACATCTCTTCAAGCTTTTCTTGATGGTCAGTATCAGCATGGCCCCTTCCTTTCCAGCTTTCCTCATTCCTAGAGTCTGCTATTGTGCCTTTATACCTTGAAATTGGGGTATACCCATATATCCATATAAAAAACCTTTTTGTTTCTGTAGTCATTACAGGGGAGTCCAGTGTGATTTACAGAACAAACTGAAATCATTCTATCAAGACGTAACAAAGAATTAAGGGGAAGGGTCTGGGCTGGAGAATATTAATTAGCCCCTGACCCACCCTATCATCTTTCTCTAGTTCACAAAGATAACTGTCAATTTATCCTCAATGTTCAGAATAATGCCTAATACCTAGTAAAAAATCAACAAATATGTGTTTAGAGAATGAGTAAATGATTACCATAGTTTATTTACCTGCTGAAATTACATTTTTCTAATTTTAAACTATTATGCAAAAAATGTTTCCAGTTAAATATTTTGCATACCTCTGTTTGAACTCCTGTTTATCTGTAGAATAAAAAAGTTAAATTAGAATGTCTGAAGCAGTGTTTTTCATTATAATCAATATTACTTCAAAGATTACTTAATTTTAATATTTTACTTCAATTAATACTGCCAAATCTACCCCCACCCCTGGCAGTGGCTATCCTGGTTTATACTTCTACCAAGAATATTCACTTTTCCACAAAATTGATATTTTCAAATTTCAGTTTTAGCCAGTGTGGGATAAAATGGATCTCTCTATTATTTTCCTTTGCATGCCAGCGTCACTAGCGCAGTTAAGCATCTTCTTTATGTGGTCAGTTTTATTTCATTCTTCTTCATCTATTGTCTATTTACACATTTGTCCATTTCTCTATAGGGTTGTCTTTTTCTTATATACATTTGTTTTCACTATCTATTCCAGATGTTAATTCTTTGTGCACTGTATGTTTCCTCTTTTTAAACTTTATTCATGGTATTTTTGTTCTATGAAACATTTTAGCCCATACTCTCACATCATGGAAGAGTAATTTCCTTGCAAACCTCTCTTGTCTACTCCTACTCAGTAGCATCAAATCCAGTTGATTCAAGTCTTACCCTCTATTCAGAGGAAATATAGTGTGGTGATTAGAAGCATAGGCTGGGCATGGTGGCTCACACCTGTAATCCCAGCACTTTGGGAGGCCGAGGTGGGCGGATCACCTGAGGTAAGGAGTTTGAGACCAGCCTGGGCAACATGGTGAAACCCGTCTCTGCTAAAAATACAAAACTTAGCTGGGCATGGTGGCGCATGCCTGTAATCCCAGCTACTTGAGAGGCTGAAGCACGGGAATGGCTTGAACCCAGAAGGCAGGGATTGCAGTCAGCCAAGATCACGCCACTGCCTGGGCGACAGAGCTAGTCTCTGTCTCAATAAATAAATAAATAAGCATAAACTCTAGGACCAGGCACAATGGCTCATGCCTATAATCCCAACACTTTGGGAGGTTGAGGCGGGCGGACCCCTTGGGACCAAGAATTGCAGACCGAGCTCGAGCAATGTGGTGAAACCCTGTCACTAAAATAATAATAAATAAATACAAAAAAAAAAAAGAAGTAGGGCGGGGAGCAGTGGCCTCACACCTGTAATTCCCGAGCACTTGGGGCAAGGCCCAGGGTGGGATCACGAGGTCAAGGAGGTTTGAACCAGACGGGCCACGTACTGGTGCAACGCCCCATCTGTATAAAATACAAAAATTAGCTGGCGTGGGGCGGGTGGTGGTAGGCCACTGTCAATCCCAAGGTACTCGGAGGGCTGGCGAGTGAGAATCGCTTGAACCCAGGAAGTGGTACACTGCAGTGAGCCAGATGGGCCACCGACTGCCGCCTCCAGCCTGCGGTTACAGAGTTAAGACTGCATTCTCAAATAAAAAAAAAGAAAATGCTTAGCGGGCAAGGTGAGTTATGTATTGTGCCTGTGGTCCAGATACTCAGGAGGGCTGAGGGAGAGGGAATTCATTCGAGCCTGGGCAGGTGGCTGCGCGAGCCATGATGGTTGCCACTGTCACTCGAGCCTGCAACAGGAGAGAGCCCTTTTAAAATAAAAAAAAAAAAAAAAGCACAGTCTCTGGGGCCAAACTGATGCGCTCATGCAAAAGTTTTGCCACTTACTGTATAACCTTGGGCCACTTGCTTAACCTCTCTGAACCTCACTCGCCTTCTTTGTAAACCAGAGGTGATAACAGTATAGCCATTTCATAGGGCTGTGGTGAGAACTAGATGAGTTAATAAATTTAAAGAGCTTAGAAGTGTCTGGTGCATAGCAAGTGCTACGTAAATGTTCAACCTTTCCTGCCCTTTTCATCTGCTCCTCCTTTTCCTTTTTTCCTGTTACAGCTTTCCTTCTTTTTTCCTATTTCCTCACTATGCCTTTGCTGGAATACTAAAAAGAAACTACTGGTCCAACAGCAGGCAACACCTCATGCCATTACTTTAAATGACTTCAAAATAATACAAATATATCCAGCATAACAGTTTACATTTTAAAGGTGTTACACCAATTTGTTTTGAGAAGTGTCAACAAAACCCGTGTTTCTTTTCTTTCTATAAGTTTAAAATGTCCCCAAATAAATTAACAATAGAGGAAAGTCAGGCTATGTTTTTTCTCTTTATACTGTTATCTCCTGTTTCCACTGTTTTTACACTTCTTTGCAGCTCAGTTTCCTTATCTGTAAGATATTCTTAGGATGAACTTAGTAAGAAATGTGCAAAACTAGATGAAGACCCACCAGATAGGATGCTCTCTTGCAGACACGCAACTCACTGACTCAACCAATGAGGAAATTATCCCACAAAGCAGATAATCCTAATGGAGGGCAGAATTCAGGACTGAGCATCTCAGTGATGCCGCCGGGAACCCAGGCTTCTCTGTCCCTTCACCAGACTAACCGAGTTCGAGACCACACGGGGGTCAGGTAGCCAAGGCTGGGCTTGGTAGGAATGAAGGAGGTGAGGGTGGCGCGCCGCCGGTCTGGGCCACTCCCTGAGTAGGGCGGCGGTGGCGGCGGCGGCGGCTGCAGGCCCGGTCGATTGTGAGGAGACAGCGGTGCCTCCTGGGCCGCGCGCCCGACCATTCCTGGGGTCCCGGCTAGCGCCGCGCCAGGCGCGCTCGAGCGGAAGTGGCGGCGACCCCGCCGGAAGCGCGCGGCTGCGGCAGGGGAAGCAACCGAGAGCCCTCCTCCCGCCTGCTCTGTGCAGGAGACAGCTTGCGGAGCCCACTGCCGGCGCGCCGAGAGCCCAGCAGCTCTTGAGTCCGGGAAGCAAGGGTGGGCGGAGGGAGGAGCCGGTGGCAAGGACCCAGACCTGGACGACCCCCAGTGCCGAGCCAGCGGAGCTGCTTGGTGAGTGGCCTCCAGGCGGCATCTCTTGCTCTCAGCCCGGAGAGGGTTTGGGGGACCCAGGCTGTGGGGCCGCCTCTTCCCATGCCTTCAGTTCACCCCGACGTGGGGTGAAAAACCCTAGAGACCCTCGGGAGTCCGTCCACCAAGGGAGGTCCAGACTCCCCAGGAATGTTGCCTAGGGCGGGGTGTCTGCGGTGGGGGGGCGGGGGGAGGTGATCCAGGCCCACCCTCTGCAGGGCACTTTGAATGCTCCACATCCCCAGTGAACAGCCTGTCACGCATCACACCGTGGTGTATTTGAGATCCCATCTGCCACTTGGGCTGGAGGGAAATGAGTGGTCTTGGGTTTCTTGTCATTGCTTGCTGCCGATTCCATTTTAATCCTGTTGGTTTATGGCCTCAAACATGAATTTGAAGAATTTTGCCTTCTCTGGCAGTATTGGGAAGAAGATTCTTTTGTTCAAGTCCGTTTGAACAATTAGTTGGGAGTATTTACAAAAGGTCAGGCCGGAAACGGTGGCTCACACCTGTAATCCCAACACTTTGGGAGGCCAAATCGCAAGGATCGCTTGAGCCCAGGAGTTCGACACCAGCTTGGGCAACAGAGGGAGACCTTGTCTCTACAAAAAATTTAAAAATTAGCTGGGCATGGTGGTGCATGCCTGTAGCCCCAGCTATACGGGAAGCTGAGGTGGGAGGATTGCTTGAGCCCGAAAGTTCGAGGGTGCTGTGAGCTGAGATCGCACCACTGCATTCCAGCCCGGACAATAAAGCAAGACCCTGTCTAAGGTCGACTCTGCCACCTGGAAGGTATGGGACCTCGCAGTCTTCTCTAGGTTGCGTCTTTTTCACTGAAATCACAAAATCACTAAGGTAAGTAGGGAAGGGTCAAGATAGGTAACAGGAGTGAGGGGACACAGACACCAATAAAAGTTCTAACTTTGAGGACTTCTCCAGTATTCTTTTCATCCTAAAGCTTCTGGCCTATCAGCTAGTTCACACACAGCCTAGGAGTCTCAAGCCAGTACAGGAACAAGGAGGCAGGTTGCCCTCTTGGGGCAAAACTGTGACCCCACCCTTGATGAAGAAGGCCTGTAGGAACACGACCTGTGAGCAGGTAGACTCCTGAAGGTTTAAGATTCTGTAGAGCAGGTATGTGCAGTGCCAGTGCTCAACCAGCAACTGATGGACAGGAATAGGTAGAGCTGCTCTGAGTGCATTCCCTTGGCAAGCCTGGGCCAGAGGCACACAGGAAGGAATTAATCATGTGGTATCCTAGGCCAGGTGCAGAAGCAAATGAGCCAGAGTGGAACCAGGACCAGCCAGGGCCAAGGCAGGGAGAAGAGTTCCTCTAGCTGACATTGACAGGAAAGCAGAGTCAAAAACCTGGAATGGTTTGCTTCAAAGACTGGATGCTGCCTAGTGACCTCAAAGACCAGCAATACCTGGACTCTTGAGTGAGCAAAGCAGACTTTGGATAAGCACACAACTTCAAGTAAGCCCAGACATGATTTCCTCTAGTTTCTGCTGCTCCTAGAGGCAGAATCATCTGAGAACTGATTGAGGAGTCCCTGTATATCCCAGAGACTAGTGCACTCTAGGGTAAAAGGAGTCATTCAGCCCTTACTCTTGGTTAGAGGCAGGACTCTAGTGTAGTTTGAATAAAATGTGTTACAGAACAAATTTCTAAGACCTTTAGGTTGAGTGAGTGTTAGAGTTTGTCTAGTAGTATATTTCTCATCAGTATCTATTTAGCTGTTCTGCATAGGCCTTTGATATATGGAAATAAGTAAGATAAATTTTTCCCAGAAACCCCAAAATAATTATAATGTTGAGAGAAGAATAAAGTAGGAACTCTGTCTGTACTGAAGAAGGAATTGGGTGGACAGAAAAGAGATGACTGCATGAGGTGAGGAGTTCAAGACCAGCCTGGCCAACATGGTGAAACCCCATCTCTACAAAAATACAAAAGTTAGCCGGGCATGATGGTGGGTTCCTGTAATCCCAGCTACTTGGGAGGCTGAGGCAGGAGAATTGTTAGAACTTGGGAGGTGGAGGTTGCAGTGAGCCAAGATCATGCCATTGCACTCTAGCCTGGGCAACTGAGCGAGACTCCGTCTCAAAAAAAAAAAAAAAAAAGAGGTACCTGGTGACTGGTCACTGTGAGCTGGATCTGGGGAAGGTGGGAATGGAGACTAAGGGCTCTTGCTGAGAGGAGTTTGTGTAAGCCTTTTTCAGGTTCTTGTGTCTTTAGCATTTAAATCCTGGACTTAATAAGTAGACTGACAGTTGTGGCATCAACACAACTAAAAGCCTCTTAGCGTACACTTGGAAAATCAGTCTGAAGTGAAAGAAACTTTTGGTGAAGTGTAAGTGGAAATGTTGGTTGGGTGCAGTGGTTCATACCTGTAATCCTAACATTTTGGGAGGCAAAGGTGGGAGGATTGCTTGAGACCAGGAATTTGAGACCAGTCTGGGCAACATGGCAAGACCCCTTTTCTTTTTCTTTTTTTTGTGGGGAGACAAGGTCTGGCTTTGTTACCCAGGCTAAAGTGCAGTGCAGTGGCACTCTAACACTCACCCAACCTAAGGGTCTTAGTAGTATCCATAGAAAAAGCATTGACAAAAAGCATGCCATATGTTAAGATCAAGATTTATCTTTGGGTATTGAGTGCAACACTTGTTATAAGAAGCAAAATAAACTTAGAAGCAAAGGAGTGGATGAGGATATGTCTTGGGGGAAAATCCAAAGATTAGTTGTGATCAGGGTATAGTACTTTTTCCTGACTTACATAACAGACTCTGCAAAATGTTAAAACCTTTAATGAAAACAAGTGAGATGTTGGACTCTAGTGTCACTCTTAATAATGAAATAGCCAACATTTGTTGAGTTTTTACTACATACCACAGGTGTTCTTCTAAGCTTTTTACTTTCATTAGCTCAATAGTCCTTGCCTTATCATATGATAGGCACTACTGCATTGATACATGTTGTCATTTACCGAGGGAGCAGTTATCAAGAGCCCAGACAATAAGCTGAGAAATCTGAGTTGACTTTAAAGTCCTCCTGTGTTTCAACAAGGGTGCCAAGACCATTCAGTGGAGGAGGGACAGTCTTTTCAAAAAATAGTACTTAGAAAGCTGGATATCCACATACAAAAGAATGTTGCTGGACTCCTTACCTTATACCTACCATATACAGAACTTAAAGTGGATCAAATACCTAAATGTAAAACTGTTAGAAGAAAACACAGGGCAAAAGCTTCATGATGTTAAATTTGGCAATTATTTCTCAGATATGACTCCAAAAGCACAGGCAACAACAACAAAAAAGATGAATTGGATTTCATCAAAATTATAAACTTTTGTACATCAAAGAACATGAAGAACAATGAAAAGACAACCCACAGAACGGGAAAAAAAATTTGCAAATTATATATCTGATAAGAGATTAATATACAGGATAACAAACAACCCAATTGAAACATAAAGTAGCCAAGTGCATTGGCACACACTTATACTCCCTACTATTCAGGAGGCTGAGGCAGGAGGATTGCTGAGCCCAGAAGTTTGAGACCAGCCTGAGCAACATAGCAAGACCCTATCTCAAACAATAAATTATAAGCAAAGGACTTAAATAGACATTTCTCCAAAGATGATATACAAATGGCCAGTAAGAACGTGAAAAGAGGTTCAACATCACTAGTCATTAGGGAAATGCAGATCAAAACCACAATGAGATACCAATTCATACCCATTAGAATGGCTGTTATCAAAAAAATGGGGCCAAGCACGGTGGCTCACACCTGTAATCCCAGCATTCTAGGAGGCCAAGACAGGTGGATCACCTAACGTCAGGAGTTCAAGACCAGCCTGGCCAACATGGCAAAATCCTGTCTCTACTAAAAGATGCAAAAATTAGCTGGTTGTGGTGGCGGGTGCCTGTAGTCCCAGCCACTCAGGAGGCTGAGGCACGAGAATTGCTTGAACCTGGGAGATGGAGGTTGCAGTAAGCCGAGATCACGCCACTGCACTCCAGACTGAACAGAGCAAGACTCCATCAAAAAAAAAGAGAAAGAAAGAAAGAGAAGAGAGAGAAAAGAAAAGATGGAAAAGACAAAATTGTTGGCAAAGATATTGAGAAATTTGAACCCTTGTTATTACTGGTAATATAAAATGGTGTAGCCACTGTGAAAAACAGTTTGATGTGTCCTCAGAAAGTTAGAGAATTACCTTATGACCCAGCAATTCAATTTTTAGGTTTATATTCAAAAGAATTGAAAGCAGAGACTGAAATAAGTACAGATACTTGGATGCCAGTATTTATAATAGCATTATTCACAGTGGCCAAAAGGTGGAACCAACCCAAGAATCCATGAGTAGATGAATGGATAAACAAAATGTGATTTAGACACACAACAAAATATATTCAGCCTTTTTTTGTTTTTGTTTTTGTTTATTTTGAGACGGAGTTTCGCTCTTGTTGCCCAGGCTGGAGTGCAATGGCACGATCTCGGCTCACCGCAACCTCCACCTCCCAGGTTCAAGCGATTCTCCTGCCTCAACCTCCTGAGTAGCTGGGATTACAGGCACACGCCACCATGCCTGGCTAATTTTGTATTTTTAGTAGAGACAGGATTTCTCCCTGTTGGTCAGGCTGGTCTCAAACTCCTGACCTCACGTGATCTGCCCCGCCTCAGCCTCCCAAAGTGCTGGGATTACAGGCATGAGCCACTGTGCCCAGCCTGAATCTTTTTATGTTTATTGTCTGTGGATTTTGTTTCATTCTTAGGAATGCCCTCCTTATTCCATGACTATAAAATATTTGCTAATGGTTTCCTCTGGTATGGTTTGAGTTTTCTTTTTTACATTTAAATGTCTGATGTTCCTGAGGTGTGATTTGATTTAGGTTGTTAGGTATAATTCAATTTTTATTATTTTACATATATATTTAAATCTAATTTTACTGTTTTTTGTTGTTGTTGTTCTTGTTGTTATTGTTGTTGTTGTTGCTGGAGACAGAGCCTCACTCTGCTACCCAGGCTGGAGTGCAGTGGTGGGTGTGATCATAGCTCACTGCAGCCTCAAATTCCTGGGCTCCAGTTACCTTCCGAGCTCAACCTTCTGAGCAGCTGGGACTACAGGCATGGACCACTATGCCTGGCTAGTTTTTAAATTGTTTTTATTTTTGTGGAGACAAGGTCTCACTGTCTTGCCCAGGCTGATCTCAAGCTCCTTGGCTCAAGTGATCCACCCTCCTTGGCCTCCCAAAGTGCTGGGATTACAGGTGTGACCCACTGTACCTGGCCTCAGATGGATTTTTAATAGGTTAACCTGTTTATTCCAATGATAATTAAATCCTTGATTGAGTAATCCACCTTTTCCACAGTAACCTGAATTGTCCCCTTTATTAAATATTAAATTTCTATGCATATATGTGGGTGTATTTTTGGTTTTCTGTTCTATTACATTGATTGGCCTTTTCATGCATTAATACAACTACAGCCTTTTATTTATTGAAGTATTGTACTATTGTACTATTTAGTACATGGATAGGACTAAGCCTTTTTCATGCCTGTTTTTTGTAGAACTTGTAGTTTAGGAATCATTTTAAAATTTTTATATGGCTTAACCTGGGAGGCAGAGGTTGCAGTGAGCTGAGATTGTGCCACTACACTCCAACCTGGACAACAGAGCGAGACTACATTCCAAAAAAAAAGAAAAAGAAAAACAGAAAAATGATAATTACATCTGCAAAGACTTTATTTCCAGGTAAGTCCACATTCACAAGTATCAGGAATTAGAACTTGGACATATCTTTTTGAGGTATACAATTTAACCCACTACACCCAGTTGACAATATATAGCAAGAC